CAGCTTACTCTAAATAAACTGAAATCAAATAATAAATTTAGTTTTGCTATCATTTAAGTCATGAGTAATACGAGCAATCCTTTGAAAGCAGTAGTTGCTTGATTCCATAGAATTTGCTTCAAATTTTAGTGAAAATATAACTGGCAATTAGAACAAATGCAATATTGCATTCATTTTAATCACGAAACTGTTTAAATTAACCTGAAATGCGGACGAAATCTTACAAACAAACATTTTAGAAAGTGCGCATTGAATATTTAAAAACACATTTGATGGAGAAGAAAGCTTTTTGATCCAAATTCAAACTTTAAACTGCAAAAAGTTAAAAAATAAGAAATTTATTCAAAGATTACTTTATAATGAATGTTCTTTCTGATGCTGTAAGTTTTTTCAGTACTATAGTTACTGTTGGAATTTTAATTTCATATGTAACAGTTTTATTAAAATTTAAAAAGTGTGTTCAAGTGCTACATCTTATTGCATGAATATTGTTCAATGAAACTGAACAAACGAGTGCTACAACCTTAGCTAAGGTGATCTGGTTGATTATCCATTATTATCCAGCTTCAAATAAACAGCTCAATTAACCTGAGATGTGGATGAATTCTTGCATATAAAATTTATATCAAAAAATTAGCATAAGAGTGTTTAGATGAATTCTACACTGATGAAAATATTTATTGAATTACAAATTTAAGAGCTAATAAGGCTGATTGATTAACTGTCGAATTGTTTTGCATAAATAGCAGTGGCCCCTGCAAAATTTCACGTCGAAAAATTATGCAAGATTGCAGAAGACAGTCACGTTACTCATATGAGCACTTTAAAAAGTATTTTTTTATAGTGATTAATGCTTTGCTTGGAAAAATAAAACCAGTCAGCACTGTGTACTCACTCTTACTGAAATAAAAGCGAAGAAATATTTCTAATTCAGGTTTGAGGTGTAATAATAATCTTTGTTGGAAAATACTACCTGAAAATCAAATACAGTGTCAAGAGTTCAAAACTGCTGATAAGTCAGACTTGCATTAAAAAATTTAATTAATAACTTTCACATTTAGTCTGCATAATTTCAATTTAGTTCGTAACCTTTGGCTTAAATTTATGTCAGAAAGCAATTATGAACTAACTTTTTTCGCTTCTATAATTTCTGCTTTTGATGTGATTGATGATATCAAACCTTCTATTTTTGATGATTTTTAATATTGAATATTTCTTACATTATTATATATCAACCTTTTTATGGCTAATTAAAACGTTATAATATCTAGATCAAGAAAGTCAACTGTAATATGGAAATCAATTTGAAGTAATGAGATCAGTTTTTAGTCTAATCCCTTGAGATCAGTTTTTAGTCTAATCCCTTGTGATCAATCTCTTCTTGACCCAAACATCAAGGATTAGTTTTTTGATGATTTTTAATGTTTAATATTTCTTACATTATTATATCTTAACTTATATTTTTTCACTAGATTCTAAGTTTTGGTATAATTCTTCGGACACTATAGCAATATTCTTCGGACACTATAAACTAGTAAGTTTTGGTAATAAGTGCTAAAAAATTCATAAAACTTTAATGAAGAAATACCTTTAAATTCAAGTTCAAAATCATGACTGAATTTACAGCAACACCTGACATTTTTACTTCTCTTATTGAAATACTTTTGATTTAGGAATATTCAAGAATTTGAAATAAAATATACCACAAAAGATAACTAAAAATTGTATGCAATATTTTTGATATTATTTTGAATTATCATTAACATAAGTGAGATTACAGTATCAATGTCTCACATCGAGAATAAAATATTAATACAAAAACTTATATTACAGTATAAACTATGAATGTATTGCTAAAACAGCTTAGTGTGAAGAAATAAAAGTAATATTTTATGCTGTGATTTTTGTATCAAATATTTTATCAAACATAACTTCAACATTGTCATATCTTTCAAAATGTTGAAGTTTCATACTTTTGTAATGTGAAAAACGAATTGCATGCAGTGATTTAATTATTGAAAGTTTTTAAGCTCAATTTACAACAAGAATTGATAGCTTTGAAATTTGACAAGTAAAATGCAACTGTAATTTTATTTCAGTCTCTCCTTGTTTTAAAATGACTTCTTTATTTAACTATTTGATAACTTAAATTTTCATACTGATATTATTGTTAATAAATTTCAGTATTTGTTTTTATGACTAATTAAAATTTCAATAATTTTATCAAAAATTCAGAAAATGATCAGCAATGATGAATTTAATTGAATACTTTTAATCGAATAACTAATTAGAAACAATTACTTTTGTGTTTTTTTGTAATTTTGGAAGAAGAAATTTTATTATTTATGCTACTTGCTGTGAGTGTGACTAAGTACTGTATTTCTGTAGTACAATTATTTAATTTGACGCACATTTTATTCAACTCTGTCTAGATTGCATTAACTATTACTGATTAAACGAAAGTTTGAACTTCAATAAAATTTCAAGTGGACTTGCTGTAATTGGTACATATTATTTAGGTCGCCAGTAATGAAACTGCCATACGACGACGAGGACATGGACAGTATGTAGCATCTTGGCCAGGTGGACCACTAGGACCACTTTGTCCTGGTGGTCCATTTGGTCCATCTGGTCCAGGTTCTCCCATTGGTCCTTGGGGTCCTGGAGACCCTGGCCTTCCAGCATTCCCAGGAAATCCTAATGGACCTAATTGACCAGGTGGTCCAGGAGGTCCCGGTGGTCCACGTGGTCCAGGTGATCCTTTGCTGCCTTGAGATCCTGGTGTCCCAGGTGGACCTGGTTCACCAGGTCGACCAGGTTGTGCTGCTTCTCCTGGTGGACCTGGAGGACCTGGTGGTCCACGATTGCCATTTTGAGCGCGATTTCCTGGTGGTCCAGGTGGGCCCCCAATACCTGGTTGTCCTTGTCGTCCCATAGGTCCTGGCGGTCCTGGTGGTCCATTAGGACACACACGGCATCGTCCTTCGAAATGATAATTAATAGATGGCATATTACCTGGGAGGCCTGGTGCTCCAACAGGCCCAGGGAGGCCTAAAAATATTGCAAATCATTAATCCAATCTTTTAAGCTGCAATATATTCTGATTTGAAAATTAGAGCAAAACTTGAAAAGCAAATGAAATGTATCATTAAAAAGTGCTTGATTAAAATCCATACCAGGAGTTCCATCTTGTCCAGGCTCACCAGGTGGTCCGGGAGGTCCTGGTGGACAAAGATTATTTACATTACAACGGCACTGTTGCGCTTGCCTTGCCACCCTAATCTTGGCAAAGCTGACCGCACCCATCTTATGACTATATTCACCCCTGTAAGCATTATTAGTTATAATGCAGTACTTGAAGCACATAGCAATTTTTGTTTGTTCCTCTTCAATCTACTAACTTTTGTTTCTCCGTTGAATATATCTCATATTACAATAAGTATTGATTCACACTCCAGGATTTATTGATTTTGTATGATATATCAAATTTCAATTGATTAATATTACTCACCACTTTTGTATGATTTTAATGATAACGTTCGGAATTTTTCAATATTAACAAAGTTGTATTTGAATTAGCAGAAAAAAAAGTGCACAAAGTTGTGGTTGTTTTTTTGATCCAATGAATATGCTTAGTTTATGATTCAGTCTATTAATTTTTAAGAACCATTAATGATAATATATTAAATCTTGAAAAAAGTGCTTTTTATTTTACAACAGACAACAAAAGAGTTCTGCTCTTATAATTATAATCTTAAAATTGAAAGCAAAGCATAATTCGAGCTAACAGTAAGAAGTAACACAATTATTTTAAGTGAAAAAATTTACCAAATGTGTTTTTCCATCATGCGAAAATCATTGACCTCTTGTTCGACCTCATAATTGATAGTATTTATTTTGAAAGCCAATTCACGCAGTGAATATATGCAAATTGCAAAGCTTAACAGAGATATGCCAATTGCGGAATATGCAATTGAGTTGATAGAACTATTACCCATACTTATTTATTTCTGTCTCCAAAATTACTGAAGTAAAATCTTGTCAATTTTAAATAACAAAACAGACAGAACAACTTATTTATAATGATAATACGAACATTCGTATGAAATGGCTTTAATGCAAGTTTGTTACGCAGTAAAATAAAAGGCAGTTGTGTGTAAGTTTATACGTACACGCCTCTATAAAAGACGTGATCATACAAGAGGAAAGTGCAAAACAAGAATTAATCAGAATTGAATATTACAGCTAACGGTCGCGCGGCTGGAACGAAATTGATCATTCTCATCTCACAGACAAAATTTATGGTTTAATTACTTGAACATTGCAATTCGGCAATCGCTTCAAAAATCTATCATTTATCTGATAATAATTTCATATTACGTAAAGATATGCAAATAAGAAATTTATTAATTGTTTATAAGTTATTCGATTCTATCTTTTGGTAATTTGCGTATATTTATTCTGACAAACTATTTGTTAATAATATTTTTATTCCTTTGAAGTGGAATAAAAATACTTTTATTTTTTTGTTTTATCCTAAAAAGTATGAATATTAAATGCAAATACTTTATTAGTATAACCTTTTATATGTGAAAATTAAATAAACAAGAAAAGATTTCAAGTTAATATTATTATTCGTAATATTCATTAATAATATCTCTGCTTTTATAAAATAATAGAAAAGAAATTTTGTAAAAATTCTATATTTTTATTGAGTTTTAATTTAAAAAAACAAAGAATGCTCTATGCAATTTTTCGATAGCGAATGAAATTTGATAGTCAAATAGGAAATTAAATAAAGGTTAATAATCAAATGTAATTAAATACACTACTGCTTTTCTAATTATATTATAATTATTTTATCTGATGTGAAAAAGTTCAATTGCAGAATTCAAAAAAAAAAATACATATTAAATTATTGCAGCATTTAAATTAGTACAAATTTTGTGATGCGCAAATAAACATTTTGCAAATTAATAATATCATTTTAACTGTTGCAAATCTAAAATTAAATTTCGAATACTTTACGAATTGATGAAAACTAACAAAATGTTTTGTTTACAATATGAACGTAACGTAACGTTCATAGTTGCTGCAATAACTTTATTCAAATATCAACAGATAATCAAAAACTTGAAAAACTGGCAAAAATAATCGGTGGATATCGCATAGTTATCTAGAAATCACCAATGAACAATTTTTTTAAGTTCTCACTTAATTATTTTCTTAATTGTTTTTGGCAGAAGTCACTCTGGCAGAGTTAATGCAAAGTACTCACAATTAATTCAAATTATAATAACTCTCTTCAAATTCATTAAAATTAAAATGAATTTGTTTTCGCCTACTAATATTATAAGCTTTTTGCTTATTTATTTTACATTTTTTTGTAAAGCAACGATAATGCTAAAATAGCTTCTTGCACTGATGCCAAAATTCTGATTTAACTTCTGCTTATCTATCCATCTATCTATATATCTATCTATCTAATCTAATCTAATCATATCCTTCATTTTGTGTTGTTGCAAATAAGCAAGCATAAACTAGTCAAGTTTTTCACTAACTCTAGTATTGTTCTGAATCATCTCATTAGCTGAAACATATTCAAAGAATTCTTAAGTTTATTCTTGCCATAATTGCTGCGAAGGATAATTTTAATAAGCTGCTCATCACAATAATTAATTTCAAAAAAGCTATTTGCGAATACAAACAATTTTAGGGCACAAAATTTTTTTGCATCCAATTAATTGCAATCTCAGAAGTTTTTTTTCACAAAAAATATTCAAGTCTTTCGACTAGCTTTTTATTTGCACTGAAAAATTTGAAAACATTTTGGAATCTTGATGCTAATTAATTTAAATCTTGTCTTTGCACATTTCTTTTTCTTAAAAAACGAGAATAATTTTAATAGCTCTAAAAAGAGCACAATTTTTTATACACATACATTATTATCGCTATCATTAATTTTAGAATATAAATTATTAAAAATATTCGTAAAATCAATAATTGAAAGTTTGGAAAAAATTTTATTCGTAACAACAGTAAAAGGCATGATAAATAATGAACTGAAGTATTTGAAGAAGTATCATGCTGCGAAAAATAAATAATAGCAAAAAAATGATTCAAATATCTGAAGTTGACATAAGAATGTGTTACTTCAGAATTTTATTAATGAAATAATCAATTAATTTGCGAATAATTAATTTCATCTTTTCAATATACTCAAAAATGGAATTTTTTAATTTCAGAGCAATATTTTTCCTCACGTGTTGATTACGTACTTACTTTATCAGCAGTAAAATCAACCAACAAACTTTAAAAGCGTACAACTTTATGAGAAAATGAATAAGTGCTTAAAAAATAAATGGAACACTTATCAGCTTTTTTAAAAAAACAAATAACAATTATTGCAGATTTCAGTAATTACATGAAAGCAATAATCAAAGCTAATTATCTTAGCTGCAAGACTTTACTCGATGATATCACTGCTTATGTGTAAATATTCCAGCTGCCTTTGCACTCTAACCTTAATATTCTTACATTTTTCACAATTTCGCGAAAAAAAATGCAAAAGTATTTATTATATTTTAAGTCAAAAAATGCAATTATTCCATTCTAAAAATTTGCGCTTACTTTTAGCTTTTTTTT